CTACTCGTGTCGGTTCAGTAGATATAAAGCTGGAATTCTCTATCCTCCCGGAGTTACACGTGCCAATGATTCTCGGTAAAGACTCCTTAACAGCACTTCGGATGCAAATTGATGCAGCGAATGAAACATACCACATAGGATCAGAAGATAGTAACATCTGGAGGAAACTCGACACTTTCAAACCGACAGCAGGACTGGATGTTCCATCCCTAGCATTCCTTAGCGACGTCCAAAGAACGACAGCCCACGACTTTCTTGAAGAAGAAATGAAGAAATTTCACTCCGTAAAAGGTCGAACGGACTTGGCTGAGCACAAGATCGAAGTTACAACCCAGGAACGTATCCATCAATGGAATTACCGAATGTCACCTGTATTACAAGAAGCGACCATCACAGAGACCAAGGAAATGCTGCAAAAAGATGTAGTCGAAAAATCCAATAGCCCATGGAATCACCCAATCGCTATGGTGAAAAAGGATGACGGTACTTGGCGATTCTGCTTGGACTTTCGTAAATTGAATTCGGTGACACGCAAAAATGCATACCCCTTACCTCGCATGGAAGACATCTTAGATAGACTATCTCATGCAAAATACTTCTCAAAGATCGACCTCAACCACGCTTACTGGCAAATACCATTAGCACCTGACAGCAAGCAATACACTGCCTATTCAATTCCCGGTTTTGGACATTTCCAGTTCAAAGTCATGCCATATGGATTATGCAATTCAGGAGCAACATTTCAACGATTAGGAGACTTCCTCATTGGACCCGAGCTAGCACCATACGCATATATCTATCTTGATGATATAATTATAATAAGTGAGGATTTTGAAACACATACAGGGTCTTCAAAAAGTTCAGCTCCCCCCCTGTAACTTTTGAACGGTTGCACCTAGCGAAATGAAATTTTTACAGTGTTCCTAGGTCAATAGGAACTACTTTTGGGCATACTCAAAATTTGGGGGCGGCGCCCCCGGGCTGCTGGGCATTTTCAGAAAGAGGATAAAGAAAGAAAATTTTTGAGCTATTGTAAAGATCTCTACGATTTTTTTTCGCCGAGATATTCGCGATCAAAGTTTAAAATAGGCCTATTTCCAAAAAATCGTGTGCGCCGACCGAAAAATCCTAGGCAACCAAACTTGTGCTTCAAATGTTCAGAATTACACGCACTTTCAAGAAAAATTGGAAATTGGAAAATTGGAAATTTTGGGGGCAGGCCGCCCCCTCCGGCTACTCCACGGGCCGCGCTCCCCCCCTCCCCATCAAGTAACTTTGGAACGTTTGCACCGCTAACCAAATGAAATTTCGACAGTGTTGGTAAGTCCACGGTACCTACTCTTGAGCATGATCAAGCTTTCGGGGAAGCGCCCCCGGGTCACCAGGTAGACCTCAAATCAAAAATTATTTATGGTACCTGAAGTATTTTTTTTAAAAAAAATACCATTACTGAGTGAAGTGGTGAAAAGAAATACTGGATTTAAAAATTTACACAAGATTTATTCTCCTGAATAAGAACATACCGTCAGTGGATAAGAACATACCATCAGTGAATAAAAAAACTTCAGAAAACGTCTTCAAATCAAATGAGATGTTCAAATTGAGCTCCATTCACTTCTTGGCAATAAAACAGCCGGTTTACAAATTCCTCGCGGACTTTTTGCAGCATCTCTGGCGTGATTTTCCTGCACTCCTCTGTGATCCGCTGCTTTAGTTCTTCGATATCTGCTGGGGGAGTTTCGAAAACCTTACTTTTCAGATGGCCCCATAAAAAAAAATCGCAAGGCGTTAAGTCCGGGGATCGTTCGGGCCATTCGATGAAACCACGGCGCCCTATCCATCGTTGCGGAAACTCGTTGTTTAAAAAATTTCGCACTACCAAAGCATAATGAGCGGGCGCCCCATCTTGTTGGAACCACGGTTCAAATTCCGCGTCCAATTCTTCCAAAACTTCTACCATTTTGGGGACAACTGCGTCCTCCAACAACTGAAGATAAAGCTCACCGGTCAGATTACCGTCAATAAAAAATGGGCCGATAATCTTGTCATTTAAAATTCCCGCCCAAACGTTAATTTTCTGAGGAAATTGTGAGTGGGCTTCCCTAAATTCATGTGGATTTGAGTCCGACCAGTACCTGCAGTTATGTCTGTTCAAAACACCGTTCAAAAAAAAAGTAGATTCATCTGAGAAGCAAATTTTTTCCACCATAGCAGGATCTGCTTCAAGTTTTTGTAACATCACTTCGCAAAATTGTAATCGGCGATCGGGGTCATCTTCGTTTATCTCGTGCACAAGTTTGGTCCTGAAAGGATGAAACTTATTTAATTTCAAAATTTTGTGTGCGGTGCCAACAGAAATTTCATGCGATCCGGCAAGTTTCTTAACAGACTGGCGCGGATTTTGCACCACATCCGCGAGCAAATCAATTTGTTTATCATCGGTGCGCACTTTTGGTCGACCAGACCTCGGAGCGTCTTTCACGGTAAAAATGTTTAAAAATTTTGAGACAACACGTTTTAAATAAGTTTTGTCCGCGGGTCTTTCGGGATATGCTTCATTGAACAATTTGGTCGCTCCACTGTAGTTCCTGCCAGCTTGACCGTAAAAAATAACCATTTCCGCCTTTTGTGCGTCCGGCCTTTTAAAACCAAGCATTCCCGCCATTTGAGACGTTAAAAAAACTAACACTAGCAAAAGGAATTTTTTTTACTTAAAGACACAAGACTGGACATGCACCTGTAACACGCTTTTACTAATCTGAGCATTTCTGCCTCACAGAGAAATTGCTACTCCTGTAAAGTTGTCAAGTTTGAGGAGCATGCAAGTTTTCTTTCCAGTTACCAGTTTGCTGTTTTGGTGACAATTCATAGCAAAAATCTGTACCCGACAACAGCGACAACATTGTAAGATATCATACAATCACTTTCACAAGAGATAAGGCGAGGAAGATATCCCATTCGATCGAGTGCGATATGAAAGTAATCGGGTATATCAGATAACTCCTAATTTCCTGTTCTTTTCAGCAGTAGTTTGATAAAAAGGATTTTAATTTCACATTAGAGGATATTTTCAAGCGAAACTTCGGGTACCAAAAATAATTTTTGATTTGAGGTCTACCTGGTGACCCGGGGGCACTGCCCCGAAAGCTTGATCATGCTCAAGAGTAGGTACCGTGGACTTACCAACACTGTCGAAATTTCATTTGGTTAGCGGTGCAAACGTTCCAAAGTTACTTGATTGGGGGGGGGGGAGCGCGGCCCGTGGAGTAGCCGGAGGGGGCGGCCTGCGACCTTCAGAGTCGAAATTTCCAATTTTTCTTGAAAGTGCGTGTAATTCTGAACATTTGAAGCACAAGTTTGGTTGCCTAGGATTTTTCGGTCGGCGCACACGATTTTTTGGAAATAGGCCTATTTTAAACTTTGATCGCGAATATCTCGGCGAAAAAAAATCGTAGAGATCTTCACAATAGCTCAAAAATTTTCTTTTTTTATCCTCTTTCTGAAAATCCCATAAAAAATGGGGGTTGCTATTTGAAAATTTTGAGTTGGGGTCCGCCCAGCAGCCCAGGGGCGCCGCCCCCAAATTTTGAGTATGCCCAAAAGTAGTTCCTATTGACCTAGGAACACTGTAAAAATTTCATTTCGCTAGGTGCAAACGTTCAAAAGTTACAGGGGGGGAGCTGAACTTTTTGAAGACCCTGTACATCCCTAGGCTGAAACTACCTAAAGGAAGTACATTTTGCCTCCAAGACTGCAGCGAAATAAGTTCTGGAAGCGATACTCAAACGGCTTGAGAAAGGTGGTTTTGAGGTTGCATTTGAGGAGTGACAAAAGGATTGGAAAAAATGTATTGCACCTCAAGGCAATAAAGTTAAAGTGATTGAGTTTCGTTTTCTTTAAAAATGATTATTCCAAATTTTTGACAGACTTTATTTAACATCCTTCGTGAAAAAGTCTTGAAAAAACGAAACGATTCGAACTCGATTCGATTTCGATTTTGAGATACACCAAATACTATCTTACACTCTTTGACCGTTAAGTAACTTGAAATAATTCTAAGAAAACAGCCCAAGAGAATAATGCAAGTTTATACTGTTGACAATTAAATGAAAAAACCCTAGGACAAATTAAAATTTGTGATTTTTACTCAAGATGTACTTTGAACGTTATTTAAGACTGCTATGTGATGAAAGTTTGTGGAATGACACGCCAGGTAATGCTCAAAAACTTTTTGCAAACATGTGTTCAAGCTCAAAGATTATTATCAATACATTGATATGAATGCAAGAATGGAGACTAGCAGCTGAAATTCCATGGTAAACATTTTCAAAAGACACACTTCCAGACAAAATTTTACTGTGCATTTTATTCATTATATCCTGTACCTGTACTACATACGTATCAAAATAAATTTACAAATCCAGGAAAAATAGGAATCAATACTTACTTCCGAATGCGTAGAGGTGCCTATTGAGGAGGAGATGGAGGAAAAGTTATTCAAAAGAGGAGAGTGTGATAGCATGTTTCTATTACTGCTTGGTGACATATTTGTAAAATCATAAAATCCTGTTGAAGGCTTTCCAACGTTATTACTAAGACTGCTATGGAAATTATGTGTTGTGGTTGCTACATGGTTCATAAAAGCAGATCCCTGTGAACAGCGGACAAAATTCATGTGTTAAAAATGTCTGCCACTTCTAAAATTACTAGAAGATCATACAAGGATCATATAAGGACCTGGTTAGGTTGCACATGAGAATTATTGAAATAAGGGAAAATCTAATTGAACCAAAGAATAAATTGTTCTTCACTTAAATGAAAACCCTCACATTTTAAAAACGGAACAGACAATTTTATTCTTTTGAGTTGTTTATTTTGGTTTTGATGATGTGCGTTCATGCAAAAAGGAAAAAAAGCCTGGAAATGGAAATCAAGTATGAAATGCGCATCACTAAGAAGTACATAGGGTACATGAGAATCAGGAAAGAATGATAAACTGTAAAACCTGTAAATTCAAATAGAAATGAATCATATTGACTTGAAAACTAAGAGACCTCAATTCCTAATGACTACACTAGTCACAATTTGAGCAACTAAACATGCTAACTGTCCAGGGTCTGACCTTCAGGATTCCTGCGGTGCCATGTTGGGCACATGTACCTGTCTAGCCTTGTCCATACAAGCACGGTTTGTAGAACTTTGGGTGAACTTGTCTCAGGAACTTCTTGTAACTTGGCTGTAACTTGTTCCGCAAAACCCTGGTTCATAGAACTAATTCGCTCAAGCTGCGCTTGTATGGATAGGGCTTCATTTATGATGAGCTACTTTTGTGTTCCAACAGCACTTCAGGCCCAAAATTTCTGAGCATCCAAGCAGAAAGTAGTCGACTGTTGGCGCTGTTAAAAAGCATTTTTGCTCAGCATTGATCACTGGGTCCATTGCACCAGCATGGAGCCAGCAGGAACTTATGAGCACATAATAGCAAGATTGTAGCACTCAGCACGGCCGGAAGCTTCAAACGACCGTCATCGGTAGTCAACATAATAAACTGGTTTACTTACTGAATCAAGGGGATCAGTGTGATTAAAACGCGAAGCTGAGAGAAAACCGGATTGCAGATGTTGAAGAGGTGAGGAGGTGTTTGGCGAAAAATTTGTAAGACAATTAGTGCGATCACCAAGAGGAGAATCAGGAATATTAACAGGTGCAGAGCTACCAAGTAAACCTGAAAATGAAGAAAGTCTTTTATCATTCAAAAATTTATAGTATCCTTCATGTCTGACTGAAAGTCATGCTTCAACACATTGAGACTGGTTCTGCTGAATGGTACCTCATTTAATCATAATCCAATATTGAGCTACATTGACAGTGAAGGCCTGATTTACGGATTTTGCGGTTTACCTAATTTTTTTCCAGATCCCTACCATTTTCTCATAGAGACAATTCTAAATTCCTCTAGATTTACGAAGTTCCGATTTGCCAGTTTTTTCGCACTGCGATGGTGGGCTTTTCCCTTGGATTACTGGGTCTCTTAAGAACTGACCAAGTTCTGTGACCAAACCTCATCCGTCTACCATCATGAGATCGGAACCTATGTCATGCATTACCTCCTCTAAGAGGTTGCAATCTTTTCAGCTAGGCACAATTAAATGATTCAAAGAAGCACTGCACATAGACATCATTAATATGAAGAGGCGTGAAAGAACGAGGACAAAGAAAAATGGTTGCCCTTAATTACGATTTAAGTGAAATGCATCGCCATGATAAGTTGCAAACCAGCATAAGAATGCTAACAAAGATGGTACAATATATCTGCTATCTTGTGACCATGTGAGCATTAGCTCCTGTGCCCAAAGACATGGTAGGGATTCCAGATAAGATCGACTGTAAATGTGACCAATTCAAGAATCAGGCATTACATTTCACTCCACCACCTCTTCCTTATCCTTTCTTGCTGTGATACAGTGCCATTGCTAGAAGTTCATCAATGGACGTTAGGATCAAGAATTTCCATCTTCAAATGGATACAGAGATGCAAACCAGCAAAAAAATCTGGAAAATATAAGAATCAACTACCTTAGCTGAGGCGGTTCCAGAGCTTATTTTGAAGTTCGACCTACCTTTTTTTTTATCAAACTCTCTTCCTTTGAACATCTTGGGTCTTTGATCAGGAGTAAAGTAGAGGGTTATATATTCCCAGTCAACCATGAAACTCAATCTTTCAATAATAGCTGAGGCCACAGCTTACAGAGCAGGAGGAAAGGGATACTAAATGATGAATATCCCTGGAGGAAAAGTCAGTTTCTTAAGTGGAACAGGTTTTTTCTTCTTTTTTCTAACCCTAACTTGGATAGTATCCACCGTTTGAAAGAATACTGAATAGTTTCAACAGAATGATTATACCTCTTACCTGAACTAGCGAGACCAGCTGAAATTGAATTATTGACACTCGTTGAATCAGTTTCGAAATCTCTATCTAAAGTAGCGACTAAATTTAATGGTTCATCTAGATTTAAATCATCTAAAGCATTCCCTGAAATAAGAAAAAACATACTAAGTGAAATCAGAAAAAATTCAAATCTTCATGGTGCACTAAAATTAAAAAGACAAGCACGCAGACAATTGTTTGGGTGCCACACCCTCGGATTCTCACTTGCAAAATTTCTGATTAGAGCTTCAAAGATCATTTTCTGCATGTTTTTATGGCAAAAAATCATAATGAGCTTGTTATCCTGTTTCTAATTCTTGCATTTTCAGAAAGTACATTGTCTCCTAATCAAGCAGTAATTTTTTCAGATTTGAATCTGAGATGTATCCATAGTTAGGCATAGTAGGCAACTATCCAAAAATATGGCCAGTGGTGCGTAACTTTTGAATAACCCTGTATGAGGAAAACGAACGGGGACGAGATAAGGACGATTCGACGTAGGTTGGTGAGGGCGTGGGCGAGGGTGTGTGTGTGTGTGTGTGTGTGTGTGTGTGTGTGTGTGTGTGTGTGTGTGTGTGTGTGTGCGTGCAGCACGGGCCGACATATACTGAGCGGATGCAAAATTCGAACGAAATGGTCAAAACTGTCCAAATGCAGCGAGTATCATTATCATTGTCGCGGCATGCGCAGCGCTGGCAAGTGCCGAGCCATACAACCAAGGTCCATTGGATCATTTTTGTTATTGGTAATGGGCATTTGGGCTAGGAGCTAAAGGAGCATTGAGATCGGGAGGTAGGGTAGCGCAGCGGACCTCTGATACTTTACAAATAAATGGTTAGTAAAAAATGGAGTGAATGCGATAAGCGCATATATTTTGAATAAAAATTGATCTGATAAAGTAACTTAAGTAAATAGACGAGAATCGAGACCTGGTATTTTCATGGTTTGTGTGGTTAAATTGATTTGTTTTGTTGTGGGAGGGGGAGGGGGGAAGATTAAGCACATGGAATGATTTTCGGTAATTCTATGTATACAGAGCACATGGTAATAATATAATTTGCAGACAGAACTACTACGGTACTTAAGGCTGATGCTGTTATTTCAATCGAATTCGGAACGAAGAAAAAAATTAGAGGAAGAGGAAATCTTGACAACAATATGAAAATTCTGCAATTATTTGCTAAACATGGTAAATCTTACTTCAACATTACATAATAACATTTCGATTGAAACGGCTTTCGAAACAAACGTTTCGATCGGGCATTTCGATCGAGCACTTCGATCGAGCATTTCGATCGAACATTTCGATCGAGCAGTTTGATCGAGCAGTTTGATTGAGCAGTTTGATCGAGCAGTTTTGATCGAGCAGTTTCGATCGAAACAGGTCTTCGAACGATCATCAAAATAATCGATCGATCGATCGATCGGTTCGGGGACAGGCCTATATGGAGGTCCCGCTGACGGCGCCCGGTCGAATGTGTGGCAAGAAGCCAGGGGGCAGGTCCGGCTCCATATTGGATTGCCGCTAAAGCACAGGCAAACGCGGTATTTTAAAATTTCGAACTTTAAAAGTCGTTTTCGGAGGGAAAAACGGCTTGGAAAAATCTGAACAAATTACTGCTTGATCAGGGGACAATGTAGTTGCTGAAAATGCAGGAATTAGAAACAGTTTAACAAGCTCATTGGAAATTTACTAAAAACGTTTTCTTGGAAGCTGTCATTATGAAAAATGTTGTCAAGTTGGATTTTTTTCTTTCTTTCTTTGATAAACTTAGACCTCAGTCTCTCTTGATTTACAGTGAAATGAGTTATTACAAAGAATTTCAGATTTCCAAAAAATTGCTTATCATTTAAACTACTGGACTGAAAATTGCGCTGCCCAAGCTTGCTGAGGTTTAGAGTTTTCAGATGATGGAAACCATGTCATTTCGTTGATAATGCAACAAGGTTTGCACAATTATAATAAATGCTGAAGACTTTTCGTCCACTAAAAAAAATACATTTATATCACTTGTTTTTATCGATATAATTTTTCATTCAATTATGATGGTTGCAGGTTTTTTTAAAATCATTAAGTTGGTTATTGTTGGTTGTTACCTAACATAATTTTTGCTGCAGCAATGGAGTGAAAACACTGGCCTTTAAGTTGACGACTTACCTACGACTGATTCTATTGTGTCACAAGGCTGATATGGTGAGCTAAAGTGATTGGTAAGAGGCGATATGGCCGAAGAGAAGGTATTGTTCATGCTATGTTGGTTGTTGTTCATACTCAGCGCTAGATAGAAGCCTTGCTTCCTTTGGGTTTTCTCGATAGGATCTAGAAGTGGGTCATTGTCGATAGCAATAATTTGTTTACGAACTAATTCCTAAAACAGACAAAGTTGAAAGTAAAGTATTACTTTAAAAATTCATTGAATACATGTAAAAGGGTACTATCTTAAGAGGTTCTTGCTTTTCTCTTTTGATAGATACTATGGCTAGACTACGAGGGCTATCCCAAAAGAAACCGGACTTTCGTTATAGAAGGCGAACCGAGCGTTGTAATGAAGTTTTCTTAGGCTTGTTTGAAAGCTGATAAGCTATGGGAGATGCTTGTTTTTACAGAATGCATAAATTCGTCTTGGTAAGGAAACTACACGCTTTGGAATAAAGGAAAGGCTAACAGGAATTTCGATTTTTGTCTTTATTTCAAGAAAAATTTAGATACAACTTAAAAAAAACCCAGGTTTTGAGTTAAAAACTTCGTTGCTCTCTTATTCAAATGCTTAAAAATAAGGAAATTAAAATTTTAACATATAACCTGGATTTTTTTAAGTTGTATCTAAATTTTTCTTGAAATAAAGACAAAAATCGCAACTCGAGTTTGACTTCTCCAGTAGCTTATTAGCTTTCAAACAAGCCCAAGAAAACTTCATTATGATGCTCGGTTCGCCTTCTATGACAAAAGTCCGGTTTCTTTAGGGACAGCCCTCGTACATTTGGTAAAGATATGGATTAAGAGCTGACTGAATTCAGATAAAATTGGAATTCATTGCAAATTCAAAAGAGGATCGTATTTGTATTGGATACCATGATCAAATTGCAGCACCCTTATATGTACAGACGTTAAAAACAATTGATGATGTTTATGGCTAAGCTATTCTTCTTACACCTTTGCAGAATAAGTGTATATTGATATGGAGCAGCCACCTGTGTACAAGCAGAAGTGTTATTCAGGGCTAGAGACAGCCTAACCCTTCAATGGCTGTTACTTAAATGTTTTTTGGCAGTAACAGGTGAACATTTATGAACATGTTAAGGTTAAGTAGGGCATCAAATTTCCTCTGCGGGAAACTGAGCTGCAAAAATTGATTTTAAGGACAAAAATGGCTTTTATACCAGACCTGAACCAAAGACAACATATTGAGCATTGTCCACGGTTGGTAGATTATAAGTATGCATGCAGTTCAGGATCATGTGAAAAATAGGGAAGTTTTTTATATGTATGTATTTTCAACAAACTGTGTTTTCTTCCATTTTTGCGGGGTTATACTTCCCTCATTTTATAGTTTTCCGCATGAAACTTTCCTCTTTGAAAAGTAGTGGAACAGACAATTGGATTTCATTTTGCGATGAAGAACCACTCTTCCTGGCTCATTCATAAAAGCGCTTATCTGCACAGGAAGACTTACGGCACATACATTGTTTCTAGAATGAGCTAAAAATAGTTGTTCTGTCATTACAGAATGTAGTTCAATTCTTCTGATAAGAAAAACCGGATTTCAAAGTATTATGTTGGATGATGGGGGCAGTAAAGGGTGAGAGATTCTATCTTTTCAGATGTGATCAACTTCCTTGAATTTAAAGATTTTTCTTTGAAATTTTCACAAGAGGTACATATCAATCAGAACTGGGCTAATGCTGAATCTGAGTGAAATTGGCTCGACCCTCCAGAGATGGTGAGCACTAAAAGTTTCAGGCAATGAACAGAGGGTGGGGTGACTAGCCTTAGCAGTGCTACATTACGCTGTGGCTTGCCCAGACGGAAAGTTCTTGAACAAACTGTTTATTTGTATTGCTTTAATTTAAAAATTGTTCAGTAGTAGCTGAACACGGGAACTACTACTGAGATGATACTTTCCCTTCAAAATACACTAATTTCACAGTGTTTGTGCGAGTCACTCAAAAGCAACAAAAACTAAACATGCATATCGAAATTTCACACAAAAAGCACATCAGGAGAGGGAGGCATCACTCTCCCGCCTCTCATACACATTGCAGAGTGAATTTTTCCTTTATTTCGACGGATTCAGATTCAGCATACTATCCTGGTGAAATATATATATACAATTGTAGGTATGTATTGTAGTTAGCTATTGTATCACCAAACGCACTGAAGGTATTCATGAGTTTTGTGTCCACCATACTTACTTACAATTGTATATATTTTTCACCAGGATTGCAAGCTGAATCTGAATCCGTCGAAAAAAAAGAAAAACTCACGAATGATAAAAAATTTGGTTGGCAATTTTTCGTCTACCAGAAGACCATGACAAGGGTCCAGCTGCAAGGTAAAGGCTCGGCGTGGACACAATGGTAACAATACTTCGAGTTATGAGCTCGGCGACCTAGCTGCACCACACCGAGATCCATGGTTGCGATTCTCGGTTTGCCCAAAAATGCCCGAATTTTTACTCTGTTTACTTGGTTTGCACACACTACAGTGTATGGGCTGACATTCAACAAAAAAATTACCGTAAATGGAATTGACTCTACTTTTAGAATTACTGTTGAAATTAACTCTCCAGTAGATATGCTCCTGATCACTACAGTTTAGGAGTTTTTCGAGTCTTTCAAAATCTAGAATTTTTCAGTTGAAAGTCCGGTTGAGTTGGCTGGAATTTCTTTTTTGAAAATATTTCTTTTCTTCTTTCTTTTGTTTATCTCTTATTTTTATCTTTTTTTGTTTTAATATTGATTTCCCTTCAGAAATTAGAGGGACACCCTACATTTTTACATGGACCCCTTGACACGAGAAATGTTGATCACTTAAGGAAACTATGGATATGCACTTACAGCTTGGATAGCCTCATGCTGTGGCTGCTGGGAATTGAAGACCGGTGAGCTGAGGTGATTGTTCTCAATCATTCTGCTTTGAGAGAGCTGTGCACCTGGTGCTTTGCTGTGAGAACTATTTGATCCCATGCTGCTTGTTGACGCGCACTCAGACCCATCTCCACTTCCGTTTTGAGATGAATCACAACTTTGCTCCTCCTTCTTTGGAGAATTGGAATCTGAATTTTTATTACTAGGATCCAGTGGTGAAAGAGCATTTGAAAGTATATCCGACAATGTTGCTCCACCTTCTAAAGGAGCTGCTAGTTCCCGCGCTATCGTCATTTCCTCTGAAACAATATTTAATTTGATTTAATGGCATGAAATATTTATACATACAAAAAAAATCTAATTATGCACGAATCTAGAAGAGACTTTGTTCAATATTCATAAGTAGTGTAGGCTGCTAAAATAAGGCACCTAATTAAGGCTCCTACAGCAGTTCACCCTTTGCACTTCTTCAAAATTTGAAAAATTTACATGTGCAATTGATACCTTCCTGTGGATAATTGACAGGAAAAATTAAAAATATTGTAATATAAATGCTATCTTTACGCAGAGAGCTACAATAGAGCACCTCTTTCCTCTATCGCTATCTCGAGGTTCTGCGGAAAGCAAGAAATTGGCAAATATTGTAGTTCCACCATACTATGCCTACAATTAGGCAAGAAGTACACTGAAGTCTCGATAAGTAAGATTATCGAATAGTCGAAAATTCAGAAAAGTTGGATTCTTTCTCTAGTCCTGATAATTTCCCCATAAAAACATGTTTTAAATTCTGAGTTGGAAAGCAGGATTTCTTTTGAGTGGGAAATTCCTTCATTTCTGACATATTTTTCGATCAAGATACAAAGTTCTTTCACATCAAGTCGAACAAAAAAGCAGAGTTGCTAACAGCATTCCATGATATAATGCAGATGTTGGAATACAAGCTGTACAGGTCAGGTAGTCAGAAACAGTAGTAAATAGTAGTTTATGCATTTTCCAATTTCTTTTTACTCGAATGAGTCATTTGGCACACGCTCACCGGAATCTCTGCTTGGCAACTGGGGCTACTACTGCGAGTGAAGCATTTTCCTAGGTAAAAAGAGAGGGTCAAATGCAATCTCTGACTGAATAAAACACACTTTTTAAGGAGGTTGCAGGAGATTAAAGTGTTAACAATCAATACTTTCTAGAAGGACTCACTTGCACAAACATGACTAACTGACTGTTCTCTTCTTCCTTGTACCTTGTAATATGCTCGCAGTCAGGTCTAGACATTTCGTCTGTCATTTCTAACTACACCCTCTGACAGCGAACTGTCAAACTTCTGACCCTCAAGAATATATTATTAATAGCCCTATGGAAGCAATGAGAGCGGACATCATAACAACAAATGTTAACAAGTAGCAAAAGCTACCTGCTGAGGGGGCGCAGCCCCCCCCCCTTTCAAATTATATATGTGAGACTTTCAGTATCATAGAAGTCGTGCGGCGACATGCCGGATGAAATGCCACAATTAAAATTATTGCATCAGATGATAAGCTGATAAAAGCCTTACCTAGTAATTTTGGAACATTTCTGACACAGTATGGTTGCTTTAATTATCACTTTAATTTGCGAGATACAAATTGTTTTCACTGGAGTCATACATAGTTAAATTTGATTTTGACTGACTTAATTTCTGATGGATTCAAACTCATAATATACATTTAGGTTCCAGGGAAAGAAAAAATTAATGGAAATACAGATGAGCAACACTTCACATGAATATAGATTGATTAAAAATGAATAATCCGAAGAAGTGATGGAATAAATGATAATGAGCTTGTTCAGCAATTCGTAATTCTTGCATTTTTGGAAACAAGAGAGTGCACTGAGTTCACAGGAATTTTCCCCGATTTTTTTGAGCAATATTAACCCACGAAATACGAGTCCAAAAGTCCGTATTTTGGGCTCCCATTTAAACGCGCGCCGCTTGGCCCACACACGGCAGAGGCATGCAGAGGTACCTCGCCGGCACGCCGGGTCAAAAGTGTGGCCACCGCCGGACGGAGAAAATGGGCGCCATTTTGAGATGGGCCAAGCGGCGCGCGTTTAAATGGGAGCCCAAAATACGGACTTTTGGACTCGTATTTCGTGGGTTAATATTGCTCAAAAAAATCGGGGAAAATTCCTGTGAACTCTGTGCACTCTCTAGTTTCCAAAAATGCAAGAATTACGAATTGCTGAACAAGCTCATTGTTTACTACAGTAAATACTATACCTAGGATTCCTAGGAATTTTAAATAAAATCCCACCCATCACTAAAATAACCCATATGTATATACTCGTGGTGCCTGCTCTCGGCTCGATTTCGCCGAATGGAATTCTTTATCATCGCGATTGTCCTTGTTGCGTGCGGGAGGAAACGAAGGCGCGCTCGCAGTAGCAAGAAGCAGACGCGCCAGGTTGCTTGCGACGCGTGAATGTAGCTTAACCTCCACAGATTAACAAACCGTCGCGCAGCCACGCGAAAAGTCCTATACCTACATAGAGCAACAAAAGGGAGGTATTTGCATCTTGAGGTTTGTTTACCCTGTGACGTATGTCTGTACAACCTGGCCAGCGAAATCCGAAATTCGAACTATGAAAAATTGACCATAATTTCCGACTTTCCGAGGTGTAAAACACACAACTCAGCAGAAGAAAGAAAGAAAAATTGATTCGATATTTCTAAAGATAAATGTATCGATACGGACGACATATCAACGTTGAAATATCGATACAATATTTTGGTCTAAAATATCGATAGTCTGGTGGCGCGGAGCGTCTTTGGGGGAGGGGGGTGGGCCGCGTAGCGGCCAGTCGCCGAACGATAGAATATCGCACCCGAACTGGGCCTTACTCGAAACGTTTATCAATGTTCCCACAAAAATGACGCGGCGCAACGGTCGCGGCCACACCGGAGCCGAAGCTCCGGAGAGTGACTCTAAGAGGAGAAAGGGGGGAGGGAGGGCCCCCTTCGGCCCTGGGCAGACCGACCCTGGCGAGAGTAATAAAAACGAAAAACTCAAGTGCACACGTGCAGAGCTCGAAGCATTGGAGCCAAATTGGTCTGTTTGTTATTTAGGGATAGTGTCCTAGCATAAGTTTATTTAAAAAACAATTAAATAAGAGGAAGGATTTCAACCCTGAAAAATGTCCTCTTCTCTCAGGGACCACTGACAGCATGTGACCCTGGGATCTTTGTCAGTTTTGGTGAGCACAGTTTCAGAGATGGACCATTTTTTTTAGAGAGCGAACAAATAAAAATTTTGAGCACTAAGTTGGTCACAACTATATCCGGAAGTCGTTACAGTGACATTTTTGTGCAATATGCTTCTGTGGAAAGTGCAATACTTAATGAATACTTTTGACAAATCGTGTTTTTTCCGGTTTGTGCTTCAAACGTGATTTATTTGTGGAGTGTCATACGTTCCTTTTTGAATTGAAAAACTCGTCAGATGCATTAGGTAATTAAGTACAGCATCTCTCATTTCTTAACGCAGGGGGCGGAAAATTTTGCATTTTTTTAAAATGTAGGTTTAAAAAAAATCGGATTCAGAAAAAAAATTACAAACGAGAAAGCGTCTTTCGGTGACACAAGAGACAGCACCTTTAATTAGTCGAGTTAAGAGAGAAACTAAACACGCAATTTGGCATGGAGCGGTGCAGCAATGATGATGAGGACTTGAGATGAAAAGGAGAAGCCCTCAGCGCGGCGCACGGTGAATCGAGTCAATGAGAGAGGTCGGAAAAAATTTGGGAACTTAAAACGCTCATAACTTCGTTTATACAAGAATCTTATGTTCTGCAAGCTGTTCCACTGGTTTTCTCGTGATATTTTCTTCCAGTATCACCCCTTGAACTTTAAAATGTGACGAAATAAACATCAACATTTGCAGTTTTTGTCACAAATTTCATGTCCGACCTCTCTAATTGACTCAATCCACTGTGCGGCGGTCGGCGTGAAACGCATAGCGCCTACAAGACTGTAGGAATACTTCACGCATTGCGCCAAACACAGTGCGGTGGCGGAAGTTAAAATTATTAAACCACATTTATGTTTCTTCTTGCATAATTTTTACCTTCATTTCTTACAAATGGAAGGCCTTGTTCACACATAGATAGGTTTACGGAACTTAACTTTCGCGCAAAGTTCCGTGCGAACTTTTGCTAGTAAAGAGGGGCATAGTGTCCTTTCTTTTAATTTTTCTTGTTTTGCCGCGTGAAAATGCGGGTGTGATCCCTGCGAAACGTCCTGGGTTTCTTATTATATTTTATGTGTTTCTTTTTATTATTTGCGGCCTTAGTCCCGTTTTTAGTTGTTTCTCTGTTAATGTTTCGGGCCGATGAAGTTGTTTATTATTGATGTTTCGAAACGAATGAGAAGGGGGCGGCAAAATACAGGTAGCCCATAGGCAGCAAGTAGGTAAATCCGGCCCATGGGCTGCAAGTAGGCAAATCCGGCCCTGTTTTTTAAATGAATTTTGAGTCAAATTTACGTGAGAAATTTATTTACCAAGATTATTTTTCTTAATTAAAATTAACTTTCTTTTTCATACAGTTTTTACGTAAATACATTTGTTCGTAATTTCCAATACTTTTTACGAAATTTTTATGTTAATTTAATTGTTATGTAAATTTGACTTCCTTTTCCGACTTTTTTCTTTTTTCGCGTCTTTCTGTGACTTTTAACAATTTTAGACTTTCTTTCCTTACTCTAGTAAGGATCTAGTAGTCAGAATCTATCCTGAACGACAACTTACATTCATGGAAAATAAAGCTTTAAATGTTCCTGACCATTTTTTACCATCCAAACTCACTAGAACACATTGTATATATGAAAAATTTGAAGAGCATCGCTGTCAAAAGCTAAGTTCTCCTTCGATTTAGCTCTTTTTGTATGGTCTATGGGTAAGGACAAAACTAACTGTATTTGCTAAACACTTACTGTTTTTTATTCATAAAATTTGAAAGTCTCAATGAAAGCAAAGCTATGTCCAATCACAGCTAGGTATTTTTATTTTGAGACTGCACATCCCCAACTTCTCCCACTTTTTCAGCCGAATTATTTTTTTTTTGGGCTAGATTTTGGTTGGTGCAGTAATGATGATGGTTATTTTTAGAAGACTATGATGGTAAAACCTAAATTTTCCAATGATATTTTATCAGCATAGTCAACTCAACTACGACTTCAATCATAAATAACTCCATTTGGCGAAATTGAGCTGAAAGGCACAAGTAAGGGTTCTTGAAAGTAGACGTCATAGCTCAACATTATAGGGTTGGTTCAAATAACTTTTAATGTGTTTTAGACTTTTTTTCTTACCGTAGACCCTGAAAAACCACTTAAATTCAAGGAAAATAAAGCGTTAAATGTTCATACCCATTTTTAAATGTCAGAACTCACTAGACCACATTATATTCATGATAAATTTAAAGAACATCAAAGTGAAAAGTTGAGTTTTCCTTAGATTTAGCACTTTCTGTATGGTCTTTAAGGTAACGACAAAAAGTGCTAAATCGAAGGAGAACTCAACTTTTCACAGCGATATTCATTAAATTAATCATGAATATAATGTGGTCTAGTGAGTTCTGAAACTTAAAAATTGGTTATGAACATTGAAAACTTTTAGTTCCATGAATTGAAGTTGTCGCTTAGGGTCTATTAGCGCTAAGGAAAAAAATTCTAAAAGTTGTTTGAACCAACCCTATAATATTCTCCCAGAGGATTCACTTTCAGACAGTAATAATTAATCAACATAAATATCAACCATTACTGAATCATCAAAGATACCATTGGGCGAATTGAGCCAAAAAGCACCAGTTTGGAGTCTTGAAATTTTGGCCTTATTTACGCTATTAAACCGTGACTCCAAGATAAAGAATGCCATAAGGCGACATTGAGCCGAAAGGCACCAGTGTGGGTTCTTTACATTTTGGTCACAGTTCATTGCTAAACGCTACCAAACTATGCATAAATGATCAGAAATTCCATTTGGCGACACATGTTAACACTCTTTGAACATCTGAGGTATGAGTTCTGGAAATTTTGGCTATACTTGGTTGCTAAATGCTACTTAAAAGTAAATGTTCAACAGTGACTTGATGATAAAGAATGCCATACGGCGACATTGAGCCGAAAGGCACCAGTGTGGGTTCTTTACATTTTGGTCACAGTTGATTGCTAAACGCTACCAAACCATGCCTAAATGATCAGAAATTCCATTTGGCATAATGGAGATGTTGCATAATGAGGAATTTGCGATTTGACTGGTGATTCTTCTGTAAAAGTTCTTGAGAAACACGATGGTGCCACTGGTTTTCTCTGAATTCAACTCCCAAGCTCAAAAAAAGCACTCAAGTTGAGGCCAAAATGGAGGGGATATCCCACCCTGCCCTGAGAGTCAACGTCTACATGAAGACAAACTCTCCATGCAAAGATAGGGAGCAAATACATTAGCAGGGTTGCCGTGTTTTCAGTTTTGGAGTCCCCAAATAATGTGGCAGCCTTGTCAATGTATTAGCTCCCTATCTTTGCATGGAGAGTTGGTCTTGATGCAGACGTGGACTCTCAGGGTGGGGTGGGATATCCCCTCCATTTTGGCCTCAACTTGAGAGCTTTTTTTGAGCTTAGGAGTTGAATTCAGAGAAAACCAGTGGCACCATCGCACTGTGGGCCAGATCGTGTCCGTAGCGGCGCGAAATGCAATTTTTCGACATTTTTTTTTCCACATCAGAGCTATCTTAATCGATGCTCAGATACCTACTGATCACGAAATTACATGGGAATATCTAAAATATTCATTATATCTGCGGTTTCCACGTAGATAGATATGCAGCATGTGACATGTGATGAACCCAGATTTCTGCAACCTGAGGCGCGCGTTGTATACTAGCTCATTTCACAGAGCACTCGTGAACCTCAAACCATTATATGTATCTGACTGGTAAACCCATTGCATGAAGAGTATTTTCGCTTTTGCAGATCCGAAAAATATTGATTTTTAGCTGCAGGGCATGAGATCATGAGATCAAAGTTGCCCGAAAAATAAGCCTTAAAAAATGAATTTTTCAGAATATTGTAGACAGGAAAAGTGTCATTGCGGTTCGTTGCGCAGTTCTCCTTGGTATTTTTAGAAAGCATATATCCTAGAGATACCATATACCAAAGCACAAACAGTACAAACCGGTACAACCATATTTGTCGGATGCTTATTTGACGTGACCTCCAATTTCCGCGAAAATCAGATGTAGAGGTTTTAAGGAACTACATTACACAGTAAAGCGGCCAATGAAATAGTTTAACACAAATTCATGTTTTAAGGGTTTTTAAGGTTTCTAATAGCATTTCTCGCTCTTTCGATACTTTAGGGTGGAAGGAGGGGGAGGGGGAGGCCGACCAAAATCAGACAGTCAAAAATTTGTTATGGTTAACAATTTTCTTGAGCTCAGTAAATAATGATAATTTTTTTACATCCGTTCATGCATTCAGCCCAAATAGGACTGGTTTTAAACCAATTTGGCAATGAATATGAAAATTCTACCATAAGTTTACAGCGAGTTGACCGTCGCTGACACCAATATAACTGATGAAATTTCAACTTCACTGTTGAACTGTACTTCATGCAATCTTGCGTGCTTGAGGATGATATCTTCGAGGGAGAGGAGGATTCTATATCGAATTCTCTTAATTCGATCAAACATTAGTATTGGTATGAAAATAACGCAATAACAAGAACCGACTCGTACACAGCTCAGGATACAGTAACTTACCGAAAATAACACATTATTTACACAATGACAATAGCTTTTAATAGGGGTGTAACACTAAAATAGGCATAGCTGTATTTAAAGAAGTCAATATTTAGTTATCTGAGTGACTTCAATCATACGATATTACATTACTTTCAGTCCAACAATGAAATTGAAATTTCATCAGTTATATTGGTGTCAGCGATGGTCAACTCACTATAAACTTAGGTGCGAAGTGATGGTAGAATTTTCATATTCATTGCCAAATTGGTTTAAAACCAGTCCTATTTGGGCTGAATGCGTGAACGGATGTAAAAAAAATTATCATTATTTACTGAGCTCAAGAAAATTGTTAACCATAACAAATTTTTGACTGTCTGATTTTGGTCGGCCTCCCCCTCCCCCTCCTTCCACCCTAAAGTATCGAAACATTGGCCGCTTTACTGTGTAATGTAGTTCCTTAAAACCTCTACATCTGATTTTCGCGGAAATTGGAGGTCACGTCAAATAAGCATCCGACAAATATGGTTGTACCGGTTTGTACCGTTTGTGCTTTGGTATATGGTATCTCTAGGATATATGCTTTCTAAAAATACCAAGGAGAACTGCACAACGAACCGCAATGACACTTTTCCTGTCTACAATATTCTGAAAAATTCATTTTTTAAGGCTTATTTTTCGGGCAACTTTGATCTCATGATCTCATGCCCTGCAGCTAAAAATCAATATTTTTCGGATCTACAAAAGCGAAAATATTCTCCTTCCAATAGAATTACAAGGTTAGATGATAAGATTGCATTTTTCGGTTCGATGATTGTGTTTTTACCCCATTTTATAAGAGCACAAGATCCTCTTTTTTATCGAGCAATTTCTTCAGCTTTCGACGTCCAAAACCTACATTTAGACATTTTTGCCGGTTTTTTGACACAAAATTTGGAAAGAACAGATCAAATTACCCTAGAAATCATCATGTTTGGAACGATATGCCTGATCTAGCTGGAGTTATCAATTAAGCGCCGCTACGGACACGATCTGGCCCACCGTGCATTGTGTTTCTCGCGAACTTTTACACAAGAATCAACAGTCAAATCGCAAATTCCTCACACATGCAACATCTCCATTGGGCCAAAATGCATTGATATCAATACTTCATATGTTACTTGGTTCCTCGAAAATTCTCCTCTTGGACTTAGCCTAAAAGTGTGAACATTTTTTAGCCTCCGGCGAAACCTAGAGTCTAAACGGCTTCGCCGCACGACTAAAAAGGAAAAAAAGGTTTCACTTACGGTCAACATGGGCAAAAGCACAAAAAACACCGCGTGGACAATAGCCTGCTTGTTGAACATCATTACATTTGGTTGATTTGTAGATTTCAGGATGAAACTGCTGCTCTGTGCGTGTATGACAATAAGCACATGTATCACCGCTCTCACAATTCCCTGGTTCACCCCACTCATCGCCATGTTTGACATTGGGACAAGGCGTTGATCTGTTGACAGACAAACCAAACATTTCGCTGAATATAAAGGTTGTCCCACTTGTGACTGACTCTCGTACAAGCAAACGACCAGAGCTGGCAAACTGTTGCTCAGGCATGCCTAATTGCACCACTTTCATGTGATTCAAGAGCTTCATGGTTGGTCACTTGCCTTCAAGCAAACCATCAAGGATCTTGTTTGCTCAAAATTTCGTGAGTTATAGTGTTTTTGAGATCATATATTTAAGGGAGTTCTGGGGAGGGGTAGGGGGAACTGTTTCTGAAAAGTTTTCATGGAAACTTAGCACATGAAAATAAGGGGAAAAAAGGAGATGAGAGAAGAAACAAGTATTACCTGTATTTAAATTTTCTTGGACTTCTTCTTTTATCTCTGCTATTGTGATACTGTGGACATGCGTATCCCTGTCTACATAATCTGGGCGGCCTCTTGCAAGGTTCCGTTTTATAACTGGACAGTACATAATTCGTATCTACAAGAGCAATCCAAATAAATTAGTACATTGCAAAATATAGATATTGTTGACACTCTAAAAAGAGTAAGAAAACCCCTGGAGGTAAAACCCAACTTGTACCTAAAGAGTGCCACGGTTTTAGAGTTTCACTAAGTTTCCAGTGAGACATCTCCTTATATCAGCCCACACAAAGGCAAAACCAGCCAGCTAAGAGTCCTGTAAGTAAGGGTGTTTTGTATACTAAAATAGCTGAAAATATTTGAATTACACTTATGCTCTGAGAAAATGCATCACCAGCAGTGAAGTCCACCTGAAATCATTATTCTTTGCGTCCGTGCATAATTGAGTACTAATCTACAGAAAAATCTGAAAATTTGTTAAAATCTTAATACAGAATTAAAAAATTGGACCGACCTGAAGGAAAAATAAAGAGCCAGAGAAAATTGAGGATTTTGTATACCTATGATCAGAGGAAAAAAAAATCTTGAAAACTGAAGTCTGTCAGATTTCTAAGTTGCAAAAATCATGAAGTCATTGAGGACCTGTGCTCATCTTGATTAATTTAAAGTGATGTTTGAAGAGCAAGTTTCTCAGTAATTTATTTAACTGATAAAATTTATGGGTCATAAACTGTTTGAGCAATGTAGATTGGACGCACGTCGACAATCAAAGTTACTTTTAAGAGAATGCCTGGTGCTCAAAAGTTGTGGGTCGATTTCCATAGTCACAGAATTGCAGTTAGATGGTTTAAGCTTTTAGATTAGCTACAATAAATAAGATCTGTCCCAACACCTACTTCATACGTTCAATATTAACAGAGATGACACCCTTTGAAAAAGATGGTGTATGACATCATCCACCTTGATAGTGCATACCAAAGTTTCTTCCACCTTGGTTGCTGAATGATAAAACGAATGAAATCGAGGTGGAGCAAACCATGGTATGCAACATTGCAACAGATTACAAACATTGTGTTATTCGACGGACTATATCTCTAAAACTATTGAACGTGGAAACTTGGTGTTTGGACGAATATTATTATTTCCTGCTGAACCATGATATGAAATCATCAACACACAATTCTGTGACTGACGCAACTGACCTGTTACTGTCTTTCCCGATCATATTGCATTAGATAGCTACAATATTTTGATTACATTTTATGATAAGGAACTACTAGTTCTGGTTCATCCAAAAATTGCCTACCTGCATAGGGATCTGCACCTGCCTGGTACATACAAAATTTCAAAAAAATGAGTCAGACATCGTAGTTCCTCATTGCAAAATATAATGCATTTGGTCTCCAGGATGTTTGGTTAACGTATCTGACATATACATAATATCGCCCTTCAGACATAAAAGCATGTCTTAATCTCCTTGTGAGCTCTGTTCTTATGATTCCATGCTTTCAATAGAGATACACTCTTATGTCAGAGCAGCGATGATATATAAAAAAAGAAGAAGAGGAAGAAAATGTTACATTCTGACCATGTGCAGAGGAGGATATTGTGGTCGTTCATGATGTTCCAGCTGATGCAAAATTCAAACAGTTCATACCAACTGAACACTTAACTCTTTGACAACTAAGTTAGGAATGTAGGAGCAGCGCCCCTCAGTTGGGTAAAAAATGGATTATCATGCAAATCTGATAGTTTTTTTTTTTTCATTTTCACAAAAGCGCACTCTTCGTCCACTACAGCCTTTCTCAAGAACTAAGCTCAAGAGCACTCACTCTCACAATTTCATTAGAATCCCATACTGGACGCCATGGCAGAAAATTTAGATAAAGGTACAGATGCAAGTATACTCCTCCTGAGACCGTTTCTCCGCCACATATGTACTATGCTGTGGCAGGCAAAGTTGATCATGGTTAATAATGTAAGATAAGAGGTTATACAAATTAGGAAGGTACGCTTTAAACAATTACATCCACAAGACTGAACATTTATGATAGACCTACCTTGCCATTTCGGATCTTCGTTCATTAAGTTTCTTTCTTTATCTAGAGCATTTGGCCCATTTGTTGAATTCCCCTCACCATCTGGGTTTTCCAAGGCCTGCAAATGTATCAAAAATGCAATACAGACATTAATGGGGAAAACAGGTCTCAAGAATTTAGAGATAACTGGATAGCACTGTTAAGGTTTTGACGATAATTGGATATTTATGTAAAAGCCACACAAGAAGACTCACAACTTACTTTCCACTGCTGAAGCCAAACATGACCTTAGTTTCTTCTCATCACCTACCAATAATCTTTTATTGGCCTAAAAAATGAGTATTTTTAAGAAAATATTTTTCGTTGGCAACCTTCTAGAGAAAGCGATGGTCCTGATTTTTTTTTTTTAAATCTGAATCTCAACATAAACACCTGTGGATATCAATTTTGAGCATCATCTGTGCAATGATAGAAGTATTACAAATTAATTCACCACCAGGAGGCTACACCCCTTTACCATTTAACAATTCAACCCACTGAAGCACTTTGTGCCTCATGCGTAAAGCGTTACAAGTTAACCTTGTGATTTTATATTACAGAGTAAGTGCCAAAATTAGAGGGTTAATATCGACAAACATGGTGATATGTTGATAGGAATTCATAAATACCCATACAGGAAAACCACTCAAAGTTGTTTCTTAATTGAAGAAGTAAACCATGTGGAAAAACTTTTATACAGACAAAAGACAGTGCGCAATTAGGTAGAGAACTTTCTTCACAAAGATCAGTCTCACCTTCAACTTCCAAAACCTTTCGGATTGAAAGGCTTCATATTGGTAAGTCTTTATTGTACTTCTTCTTGGAAATATTTTTCAGTGCTGCCTGCATGGGGGCTGTCAGTAGTGTTCCATGATCATCTGACAATTATATCAATTGATTCCAATTTTAGAGCTATTCCTGTCAAATGGGGTCTCAACTGCTAGTTGACGAACTACCAGTTAAAGGTAACTTCCAGTTTGACCTAAAGGAGAGTCTTGTCACTGATTTTCATCCTCTAGTTACTGAACAAAGACTACTTGCCAAACAGTGCATTAACATGATTTGTTCCCTCAAATCCTACATCAGGTTGTATCTAATATCTGGGAACCCTTGCCGAAAATTCAATTAGCAGTTGAACGAGACGACAGAACAACCCTTGCAAAGAGGAGGGTGCGGGTGGCAGGGTCCGCAAACGGAGTAGGTAGTTAAATCTGGCTCTTTGTGAACTAGTGAAATGCGAAGAACCGGAACGAATGTTTTGTCTGAAGTCCTAGTTGAAACCTAACAGGCAGAAAAAGCACCAGTTGAAAATCAGCCCATTAACAGCCTCTCAACCAGTAGTTGTAAATTGACAAAACACCAATCTCTAGTTGAACCTTAACAGACAGTCAACTACTAGTTGAATGATTTGACAGGAATCGCCCTTAATCATTCATTGTAGGGGAAAATTAGATTACCTGAATTTCTTTGATGTCATAAACAGGTGGTCTCAGGTCATGATTGCCATGTGCAAAAGCACAATGCGGCCCATTCTTGACGCAAAAGCCTCTCGTATCCGTATCATGGACGCACATGCATGTCTTATAGTACCGTAAGTGGTATCTACGTTCCGTGTCGCCAGCTGTTCTATGTAGAAATTGGCAGCTGTAATGAAACAATAATGATCGTCGTTAGCTAAACATCTAAGACACTACTTAAGTCTGAATTGCAAAATGAGGGAAAAGCTACTAAATACAGTAAAGTACCAATTATTCGGTGCAATAAGGCAGCAGCCTGCGCCGAAAAACGAAAATAATTAATAATCGAAACCACCAAAAAAAAAAAACACACAAACATAAGATGTCATTTCAAGCTCTGTTTCTTAGCAAAAATCACAACCTTGGTCAATTCTCTATCATATTTGGAAAACTTAAGTCATATAATTGACAAATAAATTACAAAAAACCACTCATATGGTCAATTCTTGTCCTAGACACCAGTTTCTGTCATGTCATGTCTAGAAATGCCACGTTTTCATGGTAAAAAAGCTGCAACGGATAACAAAAGCACAGATGAGCAGTTCTTTACAGTATGAGTATATAATGTTATTTTTTAACTTCTCCATTGAGTGGGAAACAAATCTAATCATTATTGATGTCTAGAAAAATATCCAAGAGAGTCATCCCCTGTCAAAAAGACCTCGTCCAAAGCCCTGCCATTATCGAGTTTGTTCAAATTTAGTGTACAAGGTTAGTTGATCAGTAAAAGGAACAAGGTGAAATATGTCCTTCTCTGACACTTGCTTATAAAATATCCAGTAGTAAATCTAAGTGAATTTTCGCAATTCTCAAAAAAGCGAATTTCAGTGGTTTTTATTTTCTTGACCTTCCTCACTTTGGCTCTCCTCAAAGGCACTAGGTAACAATCTACCTTTTAATGCATGCATGATAGCCCAAACAGAGAGGAATTAGGGTTTGCAAAAATTAGGGGCAGCCATTTCTTAAATGATTCCTGAGTAATTCATGATACTGGCTTGTAATTTCAACCATTACTTAGCTAAAAATGTTATGCCTTAGAATTGCCAAAGTTAGCAAAAATGGGCTGGAATTGGCTTTTTAAGGGTTTATCGCTTGTTGCTGGCTAAGAATTGTTACACTCAAAAGGTAGGTTTGGTCGTAAATCCATTCATCTGTAAAGGTCCTTTAACAAATTAAGTCATTGACACCATAAAACGGGATTGAATGATTCTAATTAGCAAGGGGCAGAAATACAAGGGGGGAAACAATAACAATAAGGGGAAAAAAAAAGAGAAATATTAAATCAAATTTGGATATTAGTCTGCTTTGGCCTTCGACTAAAGATATCTTAGGTAATTTGGAAGAATTAAGAACCCAATTTTGTGTGGTGTGTAGTGCACTATATAAACTACCTCAAGATGAAAAGAAATCAGGTATTGGAGTCGAAGATTTCGTGGAGTGAAGGTGCACACCTTACAAGGGCAGTCTTACTTTCAAGAGCATTACACTGGCACACTAAGGTATGCAGTCCGTAAAAGCCAGGTATTGCTTGTATAGGTCAAGGTAAGTGAAACAAAAATATGCTTTTCTATTACAGGCCACCCTACATCGATAAAATGATCTGTTTAAATTGCGTCAATTTAATCTTGGCCCCAATATTAGAAGAAAATGCTGAATTACAGCCTGAAGAGCAAGAACACCGTCTAGCAGTTAGAAATCAAACCGAAACCCAGTTTCAGTTGCCTTCTGAGTAGAAAAATTTTAGCTTTCGGTTTGAACTAGCCACTTGTGGTTGATAGTAGCAAATTTTTGTCGGGTCAGCAACAGTAAAATTACATCCCCGCGAGTTAGGTTTGGTTCAAGTTCATTTCTGTTTGCGCATTTATTAGAAAAACACATTCAAGATGGCACATAGTCTGGTTTTGCAGTCTCTCCCAGGAAAACAGTGAATTTACTGAACTTTCGGGATCCATTACTTTGGAGCTTTCATCACCGACGATTGAATTCCACAAATTCCTCTCTGTAGCATTGATCTACCCCCTGATATTTTCAAATCAGAATTCACCAGTCTATAAACTATAGTTCCCTGCAAATTGCATTGAAGTTCTTATTGACAATATCAAATTAAATTCAGATCTTAGCTTACATTCCAACCTACGATTTTTGTGTTCTCCCGAAGGCTGAGAATCAGTGATTTCTCCTAATCTTTGCAAAAAAGTGGCAATGGCACCGATGAAACTTAGCATTACGATCACTTTGAGGACTCAGGAGTTGAGGAGCATTCCTCAGTACCACTTAACTTGCGAATAAGTGGGTATCTTATGGGGTGATCCATTTCAAAACAAAGTAAGGGTGAGTATGCAAGCACACAGGTTAACCAAGAAAATCTCTTATCACAACCAACAACCAAAACAGGGGACTTGTAATGCATAAAGAGGGCATAAACGCCGTCACAAGTCATGAGGATCAAGAGACAGAGGCCACTGGTAAAAATATGCGCTGAGAAAGGAGAATTATACTAGAATCCTGGCTAAAAAGGTTAGGCTTAATTGGCCAACTCCAAACAATAGCTGAGTAAATAAAAGTGGTGTTTACTTACTCATCACCCTCTGGACAGAGGCCCGTGGTTTCGTCATATTTTGTACAATAATTGTCAGCGCTGTAATTAAAAGATCCATCTCTTTTCCGCACGGGCCTTCTCCGACGCTGGTTCATAAAATGCCAATGAAAGCAAGTGAAAGGCCTATGTTGTGTGCATTTGTGTTGTAGGAACAGGGGACATTGTTCCACTCGAAATTCTTTCAGATATCTGCAACATTAGACGATGATTGGATTTGGTATTTTTGGATCAGTATCATCACAAAGATTGGAATTAAAATTAAATTAAATTAAATTAAAAGAGTACTCACGAATAATGATTAGGTTTCTCTGTTTGGGCTGTCAACAAAGGTTTCGACTCCGACGGCATTTTGAGATTAGTACTGAAATTGTGCGCATCCTATACGCGCAGGGTACGCTGTGGAAAACAAACGCTCTCATTGGTCTAATTTAGTCACATGATTTAAAAATTACGATGTTGAAAGGGAACGCGTCACATCGCGTAAACCATTCAAGGTCGTTTCTGTTTTGCTGAAGGAACGTGATATGATATAATGAATGAATCGACTCTACCGGAACTCAAACCATGGGTAAAATCAAGAATTCTGTGAGAAAAACTTGTCCAGAATGCGCTTACCAACAGGTTTGGACGAATTTTTATTTTGAATTGTAGATGTTTTCTCTCGTTTAGCATAGTCCGCACAATGATACTCTTAAAATGGACAGAGTTCATCAGGAGTGCACTATCCCACATAAAGTTTGGACGGAGAAAAAGACGCTTCTCCATGCGCTGATGATTTTCTTTCTTGTCTATGAAATTTTGAGGTAAGGACATTTAAGACATGTTGAAATTGAAAATACTCTCTACTCATTTCTCCAAAATCGACGGTGTAAGTCGGCAATCACATAACTCGTTTGCGGTGTCTGAAAATCTCCGCCTCTATGTTATTTTTTTAAAGGAGAACAAATTGACATCATTCCTTGAAGTTTTTGCAGAATTTTCTTCGCACAGAGAAGAAAAATCACGGCAGTTTTAAAGAATTGCTGCTGAGTAGTTTTCTGTTAAAAAAATAAAGTATGACAGGAAGTCTGCGACGTCGCAAACCGAGTTATGTGATTGCCGACTTACACCGTCGAAATGTGACATGGCGCATTACTGGTAAACTAGATCTACCTTAAATTCGTATCTTGTCTAGTAGTCCATTATTGTTGGAATTCTTCTTCATAGCTTAAAGGTAACGTAGCTTCTGGTGATATGTACCAGACTGAAGAAATTCTTGCCGGAGCTTCAACTGTTAAAGTAATAGAATCTCATAATATTTTTCTTTTTTCTACTTTTTCAGGTTGCTGTTGCCTGTAAATTTTGCCCAAAGTGTAAATATTCATTTGTCGCCAAAAAGGATACCTATGTTCCTCCTCCCTCAGCGACGGATCCTAAGAAAGAGGAAAACTCAAAAGAGCCAAATCCAGACAACAGACGACGGACAGAGCGTGTCAAAAGAGTGAAACCTAACTTTTATGATGCTTCAGAGTTTGAAAGGAAACCAAAAAAGGTACAGATAAACTGGAATGGCCTTTACAGTTTCCTCACAACAGTTATTTGTTTAAGTCCTTGCCAACAGAACTGCTCATTTTCCAATTACTTAATGTCAGAGCCACCATTATGAATGCAAGATAAACAGGGAAAACTATTCGATTTCCTCTGTTGTCAATCCTTGAATCTCAAAAAATGTTTTTACCTTAACAAGGCTTTTCAGAAATCAGACATAATTGTATCGAGGGAAATAAGCAAAGCAACCTTTCTCCTAATACAAAGAGAGGTAGGCATGTATATGAACTGGAATCTAAACCAATGAAAATTGCCCACTTTCATCTATTTATAGGCATCTTCTAGGTCACAAAAGTACACTAGGTAGTTCTGAGGTCAGCTAGTTCTTCAGGATGGTCATTGACGAATATCGCTTTATCCTTAAACATCGTCATTTTGACAAACGCCAAATCCAGGTACAAAGATGGAAATTTATTCTCTCATGAACTATCAGTGTTCTTTTCAAAATTTCTTGGAATTTATTGGCAAATTTCTGATAGGAATCATGACTTTTGTATGCCTATGCAAGTTGTAAATTGAAGTTTATGGTATCTTTGGCTCATGAAGGTCAAAGACTTACAATATTTTCCCCGATATTTCCCCCTCACTTCTTGGTAGCATCAGCCTTGCCTCCCAGCAAGTCTAGAATGAGATTACTAGGTGCGCTCAGTCCAAAGACATAGAATGACGTAGACGGTGCATCCTGTGTTACGGAAGACGAAACAACTTTTGAAAATTTGCCTGTTGATGAGTGGTGGCACCGACCTGCATTGATGAGTTTGTCTGTCCCAATTGCGCACTTCTGCGCATGCGCAGTAGCGGCTCCAGTGATTTTTTGTCAGATTGTGAGGCTTTTTTTCTCGGTTAATAATAGTTCGGAAAAATGAAACATTGCTATTCGGTTGTAAAATTATATGCTCTAAAACTTTTTCTCTTAGGAATTTTGTCTGAAAATGGACTCTAAATGAGATATTCGTGAAAAACCTAGCGCGCCAAAGAATTCTCCATTGCCTCTCTGCAGTCTCTTGGAGTGCTTGGGACACACGCTCTCTCCCCTTCTCTGCCCGCCCATCATGGGCTCCGAGAGACTTGTCTTGCTCCGGCTGTAATAAACTGAGCCGGACGCACGGTCTACATGATTCAATGTCTTTGGCACAGTCTAATATTATCTCTGAAAGAACAGCGCCAGTTTCAAGGGTGAACTTTATCACAGAAGGCCACATCTAAACAACATAGAAAATTTCGATTTTGTACCATTCAATCTGCATTTTTATGTTTATTGCATTGAAGGATCTCATTTTTATTATTACTTTGCAAAACCGTGAAGGCATTATTTTTCGAAAACATTTCCTATTTTGTCGTGAAGCTCAGCTAGTAGAAAACAGCAAATAAACAATTAAGTAGATAAAATACCCATTTTTTAAAGAATTCCTGTTTTAATTATCATTATTATCTTGTTTTTGCTTCTTTTTAGAAGTCATCTGCAATTATTCAGCTATTCTGTTTATTCTAATTTTAGAGAAAAAGGGGTCGAGTCGCTGTTAAAGATAAGAATGAAGGAGGACTTAAAACAGCTACAACCTCTGATCTAAGGCGGAAAAAACGTCAAAAAAGGAGGAATGCAAAGAAAAAAGAGCGTGATAATGAACCAGCAAAGATTTTATTGACTCCAGAAAAAATCCACCAGTGTTCGATTATTTTAGCTGAATTAAATCGTAAAATGGCTATCACAGCATGGAGAATATAGGTGACTGTAAGTATCAAGAGATCAAACTTCATCAAGAATAAATTTTGATGGGGGATGAATGTTGTTTCAGTCTGAGACAGACAAAATTAATCTCATCTCTTTGTGGTACATCAGTATGCATTAAGAGTGACTTTGCCATCGGTGATGTAATAAATTCTGCACTCTTTCTAATATGAAGAAGTTTATATAAGCAAGTACAACATTTCACAGGGTTCCTCAAATCAGCAAGTTTTGGTATTTTATTCTGATGATTCAATCTTGGCTACTCCATGTATTCAGGAGACTGCTTGGCAGTAGGAAATATCTTAGGTTACTTTTTGAAAATTCGAACATAATGGGCTGAACCTGAGATTATTATTTGCTGTTAGTCATAAACTAGATATCAGCTCTATATGATAGGAATTAAAAATTGCAGGAGTTGGAAGATGTTACATTTTAGCCAAAGCATCACAAGCACCATTTTTACCGAAATTGAGTTATGAATAGTTTCAAAATTACGAGATGCAATTATTACGAAAATAATACGTTTTTCAGAATGAAAATGTAGGAATATGAATAAAAATCGATTACAGTTTATCTAGTTACGTATCACAAGCGCCATTTGGGAGAGAAGGATCACAAGCGCCAAGTTCGGCAACCGCCCACCTTTCTGACTGTTAACAATTTTTGTCACAGCAATCCTCAGAATGACTTGAATTTAAATTATTTTCGTATGTATATGGATCTCGGTATTTTGAATATAAAATTTTTTTAGAATAAAAATAAATAAGTAAGGAAAATACTCCGTTGAAGTTTATGAACTTTTGTACCTTAAACGCCATGTAAGAGCCAAGTATCACAAGCGCCAAGTTAGGTAGTCGCTGATCTTTAGGATTGTTTCTACAATTTTAGTATCACTACACTTGGAATGACCTGCAGCCTGATTGTTGAAATTGTATGTTTGTCAGGACGACATAGATGACATAGGTTAAAAGGCGAAGCGTGATTGGTCGGCTATGTCTTATCGCTGCTTTGTCGTGCCCATGTCGGGTTGACCTCTCGACAAGCTAACGGCACCTCTTAAGTTTCCGACAGTATGTCGATCATTCCACCCGACAAAGGAACGACAAAGCAGCGATCAGACATAGCCGACCAATCACGCTCCGCCTTTTAACCTATGTCATCTATGTCGTCCCGAGAAACAAAAAATTTCAGCAATCAGGCTGCTGGATCAATTTGTCACTTTTCAGTCGTTGTATCAGAACAATCACAAGCGCTATTTTTATGGTATTTAAATTATGGTTGGTTTTGAATTGATAAGATGCATTTACGTACAAAAATAATAATTTTTTCGGATTGAAAATTAGTAAATATGGAAAAGACTCCGTTAAATTTTCTGTATCACAAGCGCCAGGGGTTCTCTGAATGCCCCAAGAATGCGGTATCATACGCGCCAATTTTCAAAGAAAAATGTTCTTTTAAAGAAATTTTATTAAAATTCAAAGCCGGAAGTTGTGTTGGATCAATATTCAAAGTTTCAAGCGGCAACTCCGTCTTATGCGGTCGCAAATCAGTTTTTCGTGTCTCCTGAAAAACTGGCCAAGGGGTGCTTGTGATACTTTGGCTGGAAGGTGACGAAGAGTAGATATGTAGTAATGAAATCAAAAACTGAAGGACATGAAGCTAATAGAGGGGCTCAGAAGATATGGCGCAAAAGTGCAGTTCTAGAAATTCGAGACTAGAGATCAGAGCTCAGCCACCTCAGCTGCATGCCATAGCTCGTTATGCTTGTATCTCAACAGGTAAGTTATATGAAAACGACTGGACCTCACTTAAAGCACAATACATGAAAACAGGAAGGATAGGCAAAGGGGGAACAGAAATCCAGACCACTTCATGTTTTTTCATGTTGAAAGAAGAAGGATGGAAATGAAAGCTAAATCGTGTGCTCAGAAGCATGTCTTTGATCAAAATTGAGTTGTGCGTTTCTTTTGGTAGTTGAAGGTAAGGTCTATGGGAATACCAAGCAATTTTGTCTGGAAGTCATTTGACGCGGAAAAAACAGTGAATGGGATAAGTGCATTTTCCGTGTAGAGGGGACGTAGTGTAAGTGCGACCCACCATCACCTTAAGCCCAACTGCTATAACCTCAATTTGGCTCAACTGTGCTGAAAATTTCAGAAGATGTTCATGAAGGTGTGAGACAAACGTTTGTAAATTTTGAAGGTATTCAGAACACTCTATGGGTCTGAGTAAAATGCAAAACTTCAAACTCTTTTTTTTTTTTTTCAAAATAATAAAAACTGCGCTTACCCGCCTTATCTTCCAAGCCCCTCAATTATGAAAGTTAAGTCAAAACTTTTGAAACCTGATTAAGTGATTTCAGAGACACTTCATCAACACTCATTGAGAGATCACCTTTGCTAGCATGTACCCATCTCCCATTTTTCTCCCCCAAGAAAAGGTGGCTGAATACAAATGTGCACTTTTCATGGTCATCAACGAAGCTATGATTTGCTTCATAAGATTGACATTTTTCATTTTCTACTTGGTGAGAAAAGTAGATTTGCAATTTTACCCTCTCATCGCTCAGGACACTACAAATCGAATAATTTTACTTTTCAAATTCACAATCATGTTACTTTTTCTGAAATGTGGGAAATTTTATTATTGATATTTATTTCTTCATGGCTGTTGAAAGGTGAACACACATTAGGTATGTTAAGTGCAATTTCAAACTGAAATGGCTATCAAAAAAAGAAAAATTTCATTTACTGTATGTTGCTGATAAGCAGAAGAATTAGACAAAATTATGGAAATTCTTGTATCTGTCATACTATCAGCTTTCAAAAATCACAAGCCCTTGTCTCGACAGCGCAACTGTTGAGGGAATTAGGTGCAACTGTTGCGAATTTGTTGCACCAATCGAAGTTCTCCGTCTCAATGTGCGCGCATGTGTTCCTGGAACTTTTAGGCAGGAATATTTGATCTACATTAATTTTTTTAAGTTAAACGATGTCAACTGTGATAACTGAACTGATAATTATGAACGGGAGGTGAATATTTTCCGTTATTTCGACCAGGTTTAAAACAAAAAACAATAACATAACACAGATATGGATAAAAAGAATATATATTCGATAACATTTTATTTTCTTGCTGTAGTGATGTACTACAAACGAAAATATAAAATTGATACTGAAATGTATACAAATATTTCTAATTAATAACTGCTCAGAAATAAAACACCCATAATAAACTCCCGCTTCACGTGTAACCAGCGTTTATCAATTCAGAACACGAAGGTAAACAACTGTACGAGGTTCCAGGTTTCTGACCTTGAAAGTTTCACTTATAAGTGAAACATTTTTTAGACACTTCCTTCCTTCAACAGTTGTGCCAACTTCCTTCAACAGTTGTACCGTCGAGACAAGGCCTAAGTTGCTCACATTCGGCATGCAGGCATGTGAGGGAGCTCCTATTTTCCAGAACCATCTCCTACTGCGTCATTTTTTGCCCATAAGATCCTTTTTTCGTGGTAGCTTCCATCTTCAGCCTCTGCCAATTAAATTGAGTTTCATCATCAGGTGTCACCACCCATACATAAACCAGCTACAAGTTAAGAAATCATATGGTTATTTTGGATGCTGAGAGCTTTGATATCATGATACATACAACTGTTTCTGCTGTCATATTGCTATAATGTCTGAAAATAATTCACTCACAAGGTTTTATGACAGGAATTTTATACCTACTCTCTCAATCCTCCCAGAGCAGATGAAATTTAGTACCTCAAAAAAAAAAAAAGAGAGGAAAAAGTAGTTTAAGTAACAATAAGATCTTTCTGTATTAAGAATTTTCTGCCTCTATATCATTTTTTCCAAAGAGTCTTATTTGTTCATCTTCAATTTGGTCGTCTCAATTAAGAGTAATAAAGAATCACCACAGGGTCATTCCATGCCAAATCAAACCAAAATTTGATCCGACCTCTTCAGAATTTGATGAAATTTGGTACAGTCACTCTACTCGTTAAGGTGATTCTAAAAATGTGATTTTTTAATGTTTTTGTCCATTTGTTGAACTTTTATTGAGCTTTGAAGTCTGAGTTTAAAGTAACAGATGTTATCCCCTTCAATTGCCTGTATTTTTGGGGCCGTTTATTCGATCTGAATCGTTCTGGTGCCAATTGAAAGCTCTTGAAACGATTTCTCCACGTATGTACACCAAATTTGAATTCAACTTCCAATGCCGAAATGAGTCAGCACTCATTTTGGCATTCTATCTCTTACCAATCCCTTCTTGGAATCCAATTAGGGAAAGTTGGAAAAATGATGTCAGTACATATCATGCTGTCTTTCTGGAGTTTTGTTTTCTACGTTTGACATATGCTTAAGAATCATGCAAAAGTCTTATGACCTAATCTAAATTTTTGAGTAAGATATTGGATTTTATTTTTTATTTTAAAATGAAGGGTTGGCTGGTTTATCCTATTGTGACAACAAATGTTATGATTCTATTTTTGTATGACAGTGATCAACCCAATATGCCAGGTTTTCAATGAAATAACAGATAAGAAAATTTAAGCCAGCCTTCTTTGGAACTTAGACAAGTTTGAAGTAACTGTTCAACTAAAGCCAGATCCAGCAGTTGAATATTTTTTTCTGTGGACCATCCTAATTTGAAATACCTTTGTAGTGACAGCAAGTATGATAAAAGTAGCACGAAGCAGAGGATTTTTAAGAAGATTGGCTCAAATAGACATTAGAATTAAACTGATTCATTCCAATTTTTTTTATCCTCTTTCCTCTACATTCTGCTTCAAAAAAACATTAATGTCTCCCAGTCAAATTGATCTTTGCCAACTTAAACTGCTGATTCATCAATCTCATCCTTCCAGCAAAAAGTACTGTGATAAAGAATTTTTTTTTTTGGGAGGGGGGGGGTTTATTTTATATTTTCATCGAAAAAAAACATTGGGAAGTTTAAGCATGTATGCATATAATACTATTCAGGAAAAACTAGATTTCAGATCTTTTGAACTTTATTTGGCAACTTTTTAAAACTTCAAAGTTTGAAAGCTACCATGTCAGAATGAAATTTTCTAATTCAATCTGTTCCATCTTCTTTGTCTTCTCCCATTCAAATTAAAAAAATCTTTTCAAAAATCACCACAATCCAATTTTTAAATTATGCTAACTTCTCACATGGACTGCATTTTGCAATTTGGAACTATAAATTCTGGCTCATCTGAAAAAACACTTATGTGCATAGGGGAACTAATGGCACATACGTTGTTTTCAAACCGGGCCGGAATTTATAGTTCCAAATAGCAAAATGCAGTCCACATGTTAGGTAGATTTTTGACCTCCGAGATTCAGGTTGGGGTAATTAAAACAATTTTCTCTGTTTTTCTGGAAATCGCAATTCTGGCGCCTGAGTTTTTCTGAGACCGATGCATTCAATTTTATCCTGTTTTTAAGGGAGAAAGGAGGAGTATGCCAGACACCCTGTCTTTTCTCATGTTCTTTCACACAAGGCACCACAAGGGCAGGGGGTCTACCCAAGTAGCATTTTTCAACGGAAAAATCGCGATTTTATCGCCGATAAAATCGCGATTATCCTCGATTTTATCGGCGATGAAATCGCTAGGATTGTCAACATCTGAGCGATTTTATTGCGATTTTATCGCGAGGATAATCGCTCAGATGCCGATGATCCTAGCGATTTTATCACCGATAAAATCGCCAAGAAAAAGGGGGTCTACGCTACTAGCCGATTGCCGTTAGGTTCAGCCGTCAGG